CTACCGGTAATGAGAACAACACCCAACGCTGTACTACATAGGGAAGGAGGAATACCAACCGGGAAAATAATTCTCGAAGGAAACCGACTTCGCCTCTCTGCCAGAATGCAAACACTTGACGACCGCCATCCGCTTAGGATCCGTTCTGCAGTTTGCCCAAATGTCGGTACGCGAAAATATAAAAAGCACAATCGAAAATCTGCGCGTCCTGAAATTCAAATGTCACGGGCTCAGCGTGCTTATAGACAGCTACCAGAGGCAGAGGCCGCGGAACCTCTTGCCCCACCATTTCATCAATCGCGGCCGGGTTCGAAGGTTGGTTCGAGAAAAGACCAAGTAGAAGCCTGTAAACTTTGGATCAATAATGTGCCAAAGTCAGAAATCTGTGCTTACTCGGACGGAGCATCGGAGGGAAAGGGACGCTCAGCTTGGGGGTTTGTCCTAAAGCTGGATGGGAAAACCTTTCAAAAAGGAAGTGGCATAAAGCACGGTGGAGAGGCTTTAGATGCAGAGATTATGGGGGCACAGGAAGCTCTTAAAGCAGCGTTGGGTCACCTAAGAGGGAAGGAGTATCTGGCGAAGGGAACGACGCAGTGTATTAATGTGTTGATGGATAGTCGACATGCGATAAATGCACTGAGCACGGGCAGGTCCTCGACCAGCCACGAAGAAGTACGAAAGTTTCACAAATTATCTGGGCTAGCTCAGGTAAGAATAAAGTGGGTACCAGGACACTCGGGACTACATGGAAATGAGGAAGCAGACGCAGCGGCCAAATCCGCCCTACGAACGCTTCCTAGCGTGGAAACTGAACCAGCAACCACCACGACAGCATTTTTACACCAAAAATTGCATCGACAGCGACAGACTTTGCTCGACAGCTAGTGGAATGAAACTTGCCCGTCACGGTATCGTGAGCTAGATCTGCTCATGCGCCGTCGTAAACCACCAGAACTGGGGCTTTCCAGGCTACAGTTACGACATCTCATTGCAGCCCGTACGGGCCACGGCAATTTCGCGGCGTACCATCGTCGCTTCAACAATCCGCACGCTATCACAGAGTGCACCTGTGGGGAGGAAACCACCCCTACCCACTTCATACATTGTCGACTCAACGCAAATATCACGCGTCGAATCAGAGGGTCATTGTCACACAATGCCTTCTTACACAAGCTACTCGGGCCTAAGTGCTTCGAGAGCTTCAAACAATTTGCGCAGGATACCAATTGTTTTGGGTATTCTCCTGTGCATCCATCTCCTACTCTCAGTGGAGATCGAATATAACTCGTCAGGAAACTAAACCTGACAAAATAGGAATCGAGGCGAGGAGTATTGCTTCCCATTCTAAATTATTTGCAATTTATTTTTTTTTCTTTTGTTAATTTTGGGAAAAGGAGTTCGCGTCGGCGCATATTTTTAACTTACTGCTGGTTTTGTGGTGGTTCATGCGGTGGAATCAAGCTGGGTATGTCTTAGATATAGTTCTGGCTGTGAACATCGGTCCTGTACTCATAGTGGATTTGGAGCTTTAGCTTAGGACTTGAATAAAACAACAACAACACATACAAGATTGCTCATGCATTTTGTACTGAAACAGTGACACACGACTCGCTTAGTTACGAGCTGTGCATTTTCTGGACGATGGATATGTCAGTCAATATTTACCAATGTAAGCGACGGGTCGCATAGACGATCTGTCAAGTCAAGGAGCAGTCATTGATAGAATACTTAATCGATTTTGTAATATGGGAAAATGGAATAAAATTATTGTGGATTTTCAGAAATCAATATGTATAAATATGCGTTGAGAGTGCAGCTGACACTATAAACACTGGCCAACGATGGAAGGTGTTGTGGTCCGCGTCCTGCTGGTGTTCTCTGGTATAGTCTGAGTAGCCTGGGCACCTACTCCACTTGGGAAGGAGATACCCAAGACTATATTTCGCTCGGAGGAAAAATAATGGATGACGGAGGCGTGTCTGAATAACTCAGGGTTTTTGAGACGTTCCCCTGGGTGGGTATTCACGGATAAGGGTTGACTTGGGGTGAAGATAAAGCCACCGTAACTTCGCAGTGGTACTTGCAAATGAAATTTGAGGCATGAGTGCTCTTCCTTTACGTTGAATCATCTAGACTGTACTTTTCTTTGATATTGTGTCATAGCTAGATAGCTGCATACGCAATTAAAATCTGATGCAAAAAAAAATATGCGTTGATTATTCAAAGAAAATATTATATAAGTCTAGATGTAGATGAAAGATTATTCATTATATCAGAAGATATGCTTCGTATAGAACCTTCTCGCCCTCACTTCTAGTCTAGGCCACTTATAAACTATCTATCCAAAGTATTCATACGTCATCCATCTACTTGGCAAAACATCAAGACTTAATTGTCAAGTTAGATCTAGTTACAGTCACGTTTACAGAATGTTACATTGATGTTTGCGATAGTGGTGTTTTCCAATGCTAAACATGTTCCATGTATCTATACCCCAGAGGTTTGTAACTTCTGAACATTTATTGATGTAACAGTTTAACTCACATGTATCAAACTGAACCTCTCACACCTTGAATAATAGACCTTCAGATTATACCCCAAGGAGAAAAAGTAGCCTGAAATATATCCGAGCATCTCTGCATATTCCTGGCCCTGGCCTAATTCAAACAATATTTCTCAGTTATTCGAGAGAATGAGACACATTTAGAATAGAGTAGATTCGTGGAGCACAGTTTTGTGGATGGATAATTCTATAAGACCCAACTCATATCACTACTATGGGATATCAATTCAATCCTGATTCATCTACGCTTTACATTAGCTGTGCAGTGTCTCTTACCAAGTTATACGAGTGATCAGAGTACGTATATTTTAATGTTTTTGTTCGGATTTTACATGACTTATACTTTGAATTGAGTTCAAAATCATGTTTCCGATGACATACTAATCTTATCTGTCCTGAGTGCGTTTCGGTATGTTTCGATTTTAGTATTATTACTAGCGAGTTATCTAGATGAATTTCAAATGAGGAAAAACGATGTATTTTAGATACTTGATAGCCAGAAAATAGAAGGGCAACACTTCGATGATTTATTACTTTCTACAACCATTTCCAACATAGTCGAACAGTATGTTTGCTTACACAAACAGTTAACCCTCCTCTGAAAGTCATCAACAAAGGGAATTTCAACCCCTTTAGTTATCCAAGCTTGGCTTCGTCATCCATGTTTACCAGCGCCACGAGAAAAATGGTTGCGTTTTGCTGAATTCGAGCAAGCAATCTCCAGTCTTAAGTGGGATATGTTTCCAAGCTATCCAAACTCTACTTGGCAGACCGGCCAAGACGATTTATCATCGCACCATCTAATCATGACGGTGTTTATAGTGTCGCCTGCACTCTCGCATCCGAAGCCTTGGCGCATACACAAAGCTCAATTTTTAAAATCTCCTTGCCAAAATTCGAAATTTCACGCCCGTCCATACTGTATCCGTTCTCTGCATCATCTTGTGAACTTGTCCTGATCTCTCTCACGTCCATCCCAAAGAACTGTCTCCCAGATTTTTGCGCCACGCTTTGTTTCTTCTGTTGGATATAAATATCGGCGTGGGTTTGTATTTGGTGACCAGCTGAGGCCAGAGAATAGTAGACAAGAGGTGTAGTCATCGAGATATGGATGTACTGGGTCGTGCTTGTAAGCTTGATGAGACTTTGGTAGGATTCAATCTCATTAGGAGTGAAAATTTGACATGGTGGAGCATTTTGAATCATTGCCTCGTGGGTCAACTTCTTTGATATTGCGAAACTTGACTGAACTTAGCTCTGGGAAAATGTTTGACCCCCAGGTTTGTGGAGGACAACGGATACAGGTGTTCAGTCTTGCCCTCTAGGAGTGGATATTATAGTGCTACTGTGGACCGATTGCACGAAGTAATCCATCATTCATTCTTGTATTCGCTCTTACCTTTTGACGATTGAGGTGACTTCCTTTGTAAATCCTATAGCTAGATATACCTGCATGGGCCCATGTGGTACCTGAACGGGCTAAATGAAATCAAATAAAAATACGAAAGCTTTGGTGTCTTTGCTTTGCAATCGACTGATATCTTAAGCAGCCTTGGTATATTTTTTTGCCTTTGAAAGCAGCTCATCTAGACACATGTGTTACGCTCCATCGACTTTTACGCGAACCACAGATTTCGCCACTGTCAATACCACGACAGACGCTTGTGTCCTTGGGGTCCGCGACTCATAAACCATTGATGGAGCTGCCTTTCGGGCAGGATCCGGAGAACTCTTAATGGTGGCCTAGTTCAATGCGTAAACCCCCTCCTTGATTGGGGACATGTTGTGGAACATCGCTGTCCAGACTTTCTGATGAATTTTATAAGCCATAACAGTTTCTCTAATTTCCTCAATGGTTCGAAAATTTTCCACCTCCACTTTATCAATTGCATAAAGTCCAATATCTTTTGATTGATTTCATAAGATTTCTCGATTTTTTACTCATGAATCTCTCCACGCCCTGCTGCCCTTATCATTATTTGTCATGGTCGCTACTTGCGACGCGTTGAGACTGCAGAATTTACCCAAACTAGCTTCCATACTCGCCACAATTTCGCACGGATGGTTTAATAACGGAAATCAAGCAAATGAATAATATTATTAAGATTCAAGATATCTAAAGCTGCGTGAAATAGTGCGCAGCCTTTCGTAGGATATGTTGCTTTTCACTTCATTAAATATATTCAAAATCAAACTTGAACTCGATACCACTCTTGTGTTACGGCCCAGATATTAAATTATTCGAAGCGAAACTCATATCTTCAGAGAAACTGCTCTTTCCTCTTCACCAGTAACAAAATTTTAGGGTTTCGATATTAGCTATCTTGTCAAGTGTCAATAATACACGAATTAACAACAGAAGAAATTGATGACCCAAGTCTGAGTTCTAGTTCTCCTACCAAAAATAAACTGGATTTATTTACTCGCTCTAAGATTGCTAAAAATTTAGATCTGGTATCTTAGGTTCCTTTTTCTCTGGCGGCAATGTTGGCTGTTTTTTTTGGCATTCCTTATATTTCCTATCTGAAGACTCATAGACACCCAAAAATTCGCAGCTCAAACTTAGTTTGATATAATATTCAGATGTTGTGGCATATTTTCCAAAGTGATGGGTTTCTTCAGTCATGGAGTCTGTGGTGAATTCGCTATCTTGGTATCTGAGATTTTCTGGAGGTCTGAGTGGCCAAAACCGAACGTCACTGCCCATGTCTATTCCGGCTAGCTTTAGCCTGGGATAAGCAGTCTGTCTGACTCTGATCTTCCCAGAATCTTCTTTTATTACCCTGCAGGCCGCTTGCATGTGACTATTCAATATCGTGGCTGAGATATCGCTACGACCGCATGTGTAAGAACTTACATTATCGAAGAAAGTCTCACCGATCGAGTTCTTGGTACTATCCTGGAATCTTGGCGCTTCTGACCGAACAGATTGCATTTCCACACACCGAACCCATTTCCTATTATTTTTATGCATCATGCCGACTAAATTTGAGTTTTTATTCATGGCCATTACGTATGGATACTTAATATCAACTAAAAAACTAATCAGATTGTGACAATGACTCATTAAGAGGTATATTTAACTTGCAAAAAAATTCTTTCGTCTCCCTGTCGGCGTATAGTGTCCAAAGGTAAAGTGCTTTGTCTTGAAATTCGGTTGAAGTAGTTCTCTTGCGACTAATCATCCTTTCTTTCTGATCCAAACGAAAATATTGTTCTCTAAGATATTCGAAAGACCTGACAACGTCTTTGTAGAGGAATATGGTATTTTTGCATCTATATGCATAATTTGTCGAGAATATATTCAAACCAGTCTCAGAACTACTAATTGATCCATGATTCAAATCTAAAACCTGGGTGCAACGGTAGTACGATTGATTGAGTATGTATACAAGGCCAATTAAGTTGCACATCGAGTCTATGACAACCCGATAACTCATATGAAACGCTGTAGGGTAGTAAGAGAGCGATCCACTGGATGGATCGCTTTCCAGATTGCTAAGTTTCTTGGGAATTTCTTTTACTTTCCCTTTCTTTGGACTACAACACAGATTTGCCGAACTGACAAAGAGAGTCGCGTCCCGTATACCGAAGAGGATGGAGCCATCGAAAGATGCTGAAAAGAGGTAGCGGCTATTTATGTGACTTAGGGCATCGCAGGCAATATTCAGGGATCGCGAAACTGATTCGGACGGGATGTGTTTCTTATTACACACAAAGTCCCGTGGAAGATTTGATACAGCAAGCGTGCATGCGTAAAAGTTGATTATGATTACAAACTTGGGAAGTAGAAATCTCATATCTGTTTCCTCACGAAGTTTAGGATCGCATGTAAAAAAAATGTTAAGCCTTGAGTAACATCAAGCGAGATGCGGAGAACAAGTTTTTATTCAGAGATTGGACCCCATTTGCGAGAACGGCTTCTGAATTGCTATATTAAAGTCGAGTCATAAAATAATTTACTCGATATGACGAAAACTAGAATCCTACGGCCAATGGTCTTGCGGCAGCTGTCTAGGTTATTTGATTCAACTTCCAATTCTCACAGTTGATCTTGTGGGGAAAGGCTTCGTCGCTGCAAATAAATTTTGCTCAGAAGTCGGCAAAGATCGGTCCTTTAACTTCTTACCGTGCCGGTGTGTATGCTCAGTACGCTCTGTCTGAAAATAGCCGAGAAGAACCGCATCTTCCCCACCAGCTCCGGGGTTAGTAACGTCCTCATCTCTCGGCATTTACTAGCAAAATGATTATCATGAATCTAGCCACAATGATATCAGATGATAAGGTCGAAGCCCTTCTCATCGTCCAACCTTGATCATGAAGGAGAAGCCATCCCATAAATTTGCGGCGCCTACCCAGTATCTCATACGACGGTGATAGATTGGATCAAGCTGGCTCCTTTTGTTGCAAGAAGGTAGATACAATCAGATATACACACCTTGTGTGGCTCTAGTATCTGGGCACCCTTTTTTTTAATTTGCAGTGTATTCAGCTATCTAGCCATGACACATTTACATTATTCATATCCCTCAGACTCATTCCTGAAATACATTCTACTTAATTCCTTGTTAATTTATGTCTAGGCCTTGCATGGCTGTGTTACAGGTTTTGCCGTAATTTTCCCGCGCAAGCAGTTTCAATTAATATTTAAATGTATTCATTAGGTAGAATTTTAAAATGGAAATTGGCTTGTATTCTGTAAGTAATCACTGTGCGGAATGGCAATCATGGTGGTGTCTCTTACTCGAATTGCTTAATTTAAGGTAACAGGCTAAAGCTTCATTCCCAGGAGACTTGACAAGGGTGCATGTTCCCGCAGGACCCACAACTAATACTGAGGCTAGCCTCAGTCGGCAAAGACGAATTCCTCACCTTCCAGTGGTGCCGGTGTAATCGCACAGTATGTTCTGCATATCTGGGATAGCCAAGAAGAATCGCATCCGAATCGGAGTCGAAAGTAAACACACACATATCTACAATCGGCAACTTTTCACCAATGCTGGCCTTGTCATTCTCACGAGAGACCTCTACCTTCACCTTTCTACACACCACCTCGCCTCAGCGACCGATAAAGGCGTTACTCCAATTGAAAATAGGAGCTTGCCTCATTTTTTACCGACCATCACTCACTACAAATTTACGAGGCTACGTATACCCGCAAGGAAGAAATTAAGTCATAACATACAAAGTTGGGGTCTTGGTTTATGGAGGACTGTTGCTCTAATGGGGCTATAAATCTTGAGGAAGGACAGGCAACGGGAGCGTGGAAAGAGATAAGGAAGAGACCTCTTGTTGGAATAATAGGTCTGATACTTTCGTGATGTTTTCGACTTTGGAATGTTTGTGGGCGCCAAGACCGAGAATTCGGCTAATTAGCCAGGAGGGCTCCTTTTGTCGATGAGCCAACGGCACTCCCCAGCGCCCTGGACGGCACAAAAGAAGTTGGGCTAAGCTACCACACAGCAATCACGCTCTGTCAAGACTTTTCTGATATTTCAGCACGACCTTCGGAAAGGAGGCTAGAAAGGCAAAGAGTAAATTTCCCGAGGTGCCCACAAAATCTACAGCGCCCAGCTGGCCGGCCTCTTCGAACGCTTCAGAAGGGGCAATATGTCTTCGGATTTATTCCTAATGTCGGTATTAGAAGAACCCCGCACCCAGTGGTTTTTTGCGATTTTTCCCGGCTGCCATACACCCGCAAATGGCCATCGTTTTGTTGGCTGGAGAGGGGAGATAATGAAGGGCGAAGGGCTCCTCTTAGTGTATGATCGAAAGAGGACTTTTGAGGGGTGATACTGTTGGAGGGGGGCTGTATGGGAGGCTGTCGAACCTTTTGAGCTGCTTCGGAAGCTGTAATGATTGAGACTAGAGGTATCTGGAAGAATAGCTCGCACAGGAGCTTTTAATTGAAGTGAAATAAAAAGATATAATTGTCTGTCTGTCTGTCTTCCTCTTTCTCTCAGCTTATATATTTACACATATCTACTACCTGACATATGATGATAATATCTAGAAATAGCTTCCTTACATCACAGGATACAATCCAAACATGTTGTAGCCAAGATGTAATCCTAAACAGACTCAATACCAGTCCACCACGTCTGTTACACGGACGCCAAGCATTTTCTAGCTGAAAATTACCCAAAACGCCAAGGTTTTCCTGAGGCAATCACAAATTATGTCAGGTACCAGCTTGGCATATTATTCTGACAATAATGTTACGATCATGTTAGAAGAATGGAATTTACATGAATCACGAAACATTAATTCAGGAATACGAATTCCACCGAGTTCTGATACTGGTCTGACAGAGGCATAGGAGGGGATAAACTACTGGTATAGGTGTCCTTGGCCTGCAGGCAGAAATGACCTGCATGTCCTACATAGTCATAGATTCAGACAGGATAATAAAATGAAATAAAAGAATCTAGCCTCATATGGCCAGAAATTTACAAGAATGAAAAATAAAATTATCAAGGGAATTGTTTTGATGCCCTGGCTCGGCGTCCTGCGGCCCTCTCTGCCTACGAGAAAAAATTGAAAGTAATCATGATTGAGTATATTAAACATAGGAAGTTTCGTTCATGTAGAATCTAGAAATCCTCCATAGTCGTAGACTTAGGACTATATTTAAATCTAATCTAATCAGCTTTCTCATAACAGTTTGCCTGTAATGTACGCATCTCGAAGAAGTTGACTCTGTCCAGCCTAAACTTTATCAAAGTAATCAGGGCTTGTCCCTCACTGTCCATGAGAGCAAAGCGTAAATTTAAACAGTTGGAACTTAAAACATGTAGCTGGTATCTTATTTGTAGAATCTAGGAGTCCTTAATAGTCATTGACTCAGTTAGGACTATAATGCAAATCTAATCTAATCTAATTTATCAAAGTAATATCTCGTCACGATGAGAAACAGATACAAGGCAACCTACCCCTCTTCTCCCAGCAGTATCTGTTGGAAATCTAGAGTTAGTATGTATGAAGGTTAAGATTTCTAGGTATGATTATCAAGATCAGTTAGATTGATTCCATTGCATATGATTAAGCTTACCTGGGCGACGTTAGGTTCAGTAGCATCCGAAATGCAGTGGCCAGGAAATGCTACCTTGCAATAATTGAGTGACTTGTTGTTACTATATCTCTGGAAGTTCGGGATCACTAAAGTCTTGGTAATCCGTATTGGATGGACTTATTTTTGTGTACTGAACTAAGCTAAAGGAAAATTACATATTCTTAGAAGCTAGAATAACTGGGTCTATCAAGTAGGGCTCGTATTCGATACACATGTGACCACAAATTATGTACTAAGTTCAACTTCGGTAATTCTTTGCTGCGATGTTTTTATTGTACTGCTTGAGTCAGAGACTATCTAGCACATTGGGTTCCTCTCTGATCTAGACCACACCTTGTACAGTGCTGCTTGCCTACTTTCCTTGAAAATTGGGGGACTATTTACAGCACCTGTCAGTGGTGTCCCCTACGAACCTCCAGCTCTCACTGTAGAGTCTGCAGAGCCGAGATTGAGTAACAAAGTCCTCACTCCGACGAGGATTCCCAATCGCTTTCGGCGTCTGTATCGTCTTCATCTCTCATCAAATCCCACTATCATCATTATCATGAAGCTAACCACGATGAGATCAGATAGTAGAGTCGGAGCTCTACTCATCACCAACCCTTGATCATGGAGGAAAAGCAATCCAGTGAGTTTCCAGAGCATACCCAGCACCCGATATGGAGATGGTGGACTGGATCAAGTCGACCTCGACTGCTAGAAAGAAGGGAGATATAGATGAATATGCGCACCTCATGTGGTCCCGGTGTCTAGGCCTCGCCTGGCTGGGGCTGCAGGTTTTTTGAGACTTTTTTCCGGCGCACGCATTTTCCATTGCTACCATTTTTATTTTCTTGGGTAGAAGGTTCTGCTTAAAAGGTGGCCGAATGCCACGGGTAAATATTGAGCTGAATGGCGATCCATCACGGGCAGTGTCTTCATGATCTTTTAAATAATTGAAGAGGATGGGAGCACTGTACTAGGTGTGGCCTGGGTCAGAGAGGAGCCCAACGTGCTAAATAGTCTAAGACTCATGAGGCACAATAAACACACACATAGTTGTGAACTCAAGTAAGACATAAATAATTATGAAATCAGTATTCCTATGCATACAGAAATGGTATCACGATTCAATTTACAATACAAGGTATAAGATCAGGGATCCTCATAACCATGTTAGGCAAAAGTGCCGTGAACATCCCTGATCAATATACTGTCAGACCCCTGTTAAGACGATCCTCGTTAAGACGAAATTGCCGTTAAGACGATATTTTCCGGAAAGGACTCCGTTCCCAAACATTTACCGATTGCACGATTATCGTTCTTCAACCTCTGAATATCGTCTTAACCAGGGTTTTTTTGCTAGCTTGGTGCTATCAATGCCGCCAAAAAGGGAATTTCTGTGGAGCAACGACGTGCTCTGCGACGATGGGCGCACCGCCGGGTCCCAAAACTAATACAAAAACAGTGCATTGAGTGGTTATTAGCTGAGTACGGCCATCGATTAAGCCAGTCCACAGTCTCCGAGTCCTTGAGCAAGACCTTTGCGAAACTCAACGAAGCTCCAAGTATTACTGCGCTACGACAGCGAGCTGGAAACTGGCCTGACCTTGAGAGTATTAGAGCAATTAAAGACGGCAATTGGGAGTGTAAAAGAGGCATCAAAAGTACAAAGTAGCCTAGATAGCTGGATTAGATAATGATATCCTTTTAAAGCGATATCCTCTATAAGACGATATTTTTCACAGC